AGGAGCAGGAAGGCTTCCTGCTCCTCTGATGCTGCTTGGCCTGCTGTGTTCATCCAGCTGTACACCTTGTTATCTCATTCTCCTCATACACAATGGCCTAGAATTCACAGGGAATTTTCATGATAACTATCATTACCCTTCTGTTTCTGACATCAACCTCAGGATTCAGTACAAGTACAAACTATCACAAACATTTTGAATTTAAGACCAGTCATTCACTACTCTGCCATATGCTGCACTCTAGAACAGGCCAGCCCAGTCATATCAAATTGTCCCCAGCCTCCATCTGACTGCTGAGTATCCAACTGCAGCAAAATCAATCGATTTGTTAAGAACTTGGCCTTTGCTCTCAAACCAATCAGGTTAACTAGGTTTTTAATTGCATGTGACTAATGACTACAATTGAACAACAACCCTGGCCCTGAAATTATAACAATTTGTTATTAAATGTCTCTATTAGTTTGTTTTTCTGATATTTCAGCTTCTATCTTCATCCATGTGCGTTTTCAAATCCTTATTTCACTCTGCTCTGCTGGTGACTGCCAAAGCATAGAATCCCAACATTGCAGACTGAGGCCATTCAGCCCATCGGGTCTGCACAAACTCTCCGATGAGCATCCCAACCAGATCCACCCTCTCACCCTATCCCCATGGCCATACATTTACCATGGCTAATCCTGGACACTATGGAGCAATTTAGCATGGCCAATCCACCTAACCTACACACCTATAGCACTCATTGGAAACTCGCACACAACCTCGACACAGACAATAACCCAAGGCTGGAATCAAACTCAGTTCCCTGGCGTCATGCTGCCCTACAAAATATGGATTATTGCTTAGAAATTATTAAACAAATGTCAGACAACCAGCAGGAATCATGGCGGCATGAGTAACTGAACCAAATGCAAATAAATTATAAAGTGGATAGACAATTGTTATGAAGTAGATCAGATATATGTAGACCTTCAAAAAGCATTTGATGAAATGTCAAGCATGACGCTTTGAATAAAGAACATCTTTATGCCTAGGACTGTTGGCCTTGCAGAGTCTCTGTCAAGAGAAAGCTAACCTAAATGTTGATAGCACTGAGTAAGATTAAGTTGCTACTTATTAGATTTGAGAGGTGTAACTGGCGCATAAGTGTGTCCTAACTACATAAATAAATTAGACATAAACTGAGAGGGAATACCAAAATTTGCAGTTGATGCCAAATTGAACATCCAACAAACTATCATGAAGATCAGATTAAAATGCAGAAGGTATTGATAGGTCCGAGGTGTTGATATAAATGTTCACTGTCTGGGTGGGTTACATAAAGTGAAGCAGTATATTTTGGGAATAGGAAATCGAAATACAAAATAAAATGGTAAAATACTCAATACAGGAGACAGACAGACAAATCTATAAATGCAGATTTAAAGATTTTACAAAGCAGGACTACTGGTGGAAAGGAAGAAGAAATGCAATTCTGTTTTTGGCAAGTATAGTCTATAGAAAAGCAAGGAGATGATGACAATAAGTGGTTAATAATTTAAGATAACTAAAATAAAACTTAGAAGTCTAGTTGGCAAAAAAATAAAAATGTTTGGCAAGTGAAAAGATCAGGTGAAAAATAACCCAGTAATAACTTTTTTTGTTACAAACCTTACCTTTAATAAAAATCGTAACATTAGAAGCCCAAGGAGGAAAAGGGAGAATGAGATTAGATTTGATAGCTCACGGATTCACACACAACAGGAGGCCATTTCACCCAGGACTTTTGAACAGCATGAAATACAACAGCAGCACAGGCTTGCTATTTCTATGTAGTAACATTCTAGGATTTGATTCATAACTAGGTCTTTTATTCAGCAGATTTCGGCAGTCAACCTCTTAAACCAAAAAGGTGACGAAACGTTTTTAAAAAGTCATAAGAGTAAACTGTTGATAGTTAATGCAGGATTTAACAATATTGAACATTTGTTTAATCTATAAATTTTATAAAATACAGTCCTGGTGCCGGGTAAGTACAACAAATGTTTAATGTTCAAATACATAACACTTACTAAAATGTAAGCATAATTAAGTTCAGATTTGCTTTTGCAAATAAGAAACAAATGACCATTGATAAGGAAGTTGATTCTAGAGATTCTCTCAACTATGCAGATAAGTCAATTCTTATGCATGACACTGTTTTTTTTTTTGCGTGCATTTTAAGAATGGGAGCTAAGCAATTGGATTTCTCATCCTATACCTGTATCAGAAAGAATGTAATTTTGATAGTCCTTTTCTCAGACCACAGCTTTTTTAAAAATGTTACAAGTTAATAACATTATGGAAACGGTAAAATTGGAAAAATGATACATTTAATTAATTTCTGGAAGTACCTTACTCTTTAAATTTAAAGATGAGCACAAACACCTGCTTATTCTTGCTATAATTCACATGTGTATTCAGTATAGTCACCTGTGCTACATGTAATGCAACAGTACCTGCATCAGAATGGCCATTTATTTGGATCACAGTATCACTTTACTACCTGTTGATCAAAACCAGTGTGTCCAAATCTAACTGCATTTGGAAACTCCTTTCAATTTTCTAGCTTTTTGTTCCCATAAATCAAGCTGCAATTTTTCTAAGCTCATTCTGTAACAGCACTGGAATCAACCTCACTACAATTTTTCCTTTGTAATTGGTAGTTTTATCTTTGAACGATACGTAACTGCCAAAGAAAGATAACTGAGCAGAGAAGAAAAAACCATTAATACTAGTTTCCGCTCATCCGAGTAGCACCATTCCGGGGTGGGGGAGTGATTCGGTGGGGCTGAGTGGGGTTTGGGTGCGGTTGAGTATTTCCATTATTGAAACAAAACCAAAATTAGTTGCGTTAACACCAGTTCTTCAAGACACATCTAATATTAAAGATTCACAACCCTGAAAGACAACTCACAAGCCTGCCTGGTTGTAAAAATGTAAATCAGCTACAAAACATCCTTTGACTTTATCATCTGCAGTACAGTATAAAGCATACAGATGTCTCCTCATAAATGTCAACACACAATATGAATTTTTCAAGAATGTACAACATGTTTATATGTATCTGACATGAAGCTAATGTATTTTATGAATATGAATGGTCAGTTCCACCATACTGGAATACTTGTTAAAAGGGCTCAGGAGGCACTACTCAAATTAAAATTATATCATTAGCAGAAAGTACTAAGAATCTTGGAAAATTAAGCACAATACTTACGTACTTACTAGTTTGACAGCATTCCGAAATG